TTTATAATAAATAAAATATAATAATAATAAAATAATATAATAATAATAAATTATAAAATAATAAAATATAATTAATAAATAATTAATAAATAATAAAAAAATAATATAATAATAATAAAATATGATTTTTATAAAAGGTAAAATTTTTTTGAATTTTATAGAACCTAATTTCAGGAGATATTGCACAAGTATACATCAAAAAAAATTCTATGGTAAAGTAGATCAGTTGAATTATCTCTACCAAGTAATATCAATGAAATAAATTTTGCCTAGTACAAAAATTTAATAGAATTAAATTAGTTAAAAGTTTATGAAATAAATAAATTTTAAATAAGCAAAACATCTATATTTCATTTATGATTTTTGTAAAATTAAATATACACCTGTCATAAAAAACCACACAAAGCTCATCATATTAATCTTATTTATTTTTTTTTGATGTGTTGTTTACCCTGATTAGTCGATTTTTTTACTTTGTTTACAATAGATTTTAATTCAGTAAAAATTTTACAGATATCATTGTACAAAGGTATTGATAAAAATTATACTGTCGGTCAAAGCAAAGCTTTCATCTAGAATATGATACCTCCAAACAAAATATTGTAGTGAGAATTGGTAAAGGAGGTTAGAAATATATTTTTTAATAATTTTTTCTAACAACCTGAGGAAAAAGCTTAAATTTAATTTTAAACATCAGACTTCTAACCCTATGTTTCATTGTCAAACTCACAGGTATAAAATCATGATAAGGTTCTTATTCACATAAAAATTTATTTAAAGTTATGTAATTAACGTTACTTTGTTATTAAAAACTTTTATTTAATTTACGCACCCATAAAAGGTCCTGTGGTAGATATTATGTTTCTATATCCAAATTTAATGCAATACAGTGGTGTATTCTTTGTATAGAAAATTCCAAGACAAAAACCCTTTTGCATCCGTCTTATCCCATAACCTTACACAATTGTCTGCATCACATGATGCTATTATAGTTCCATACCAACTAAATGACACTGAAAAAATAACATTATCATGTCCTATATATTTAATGAGGCTTTTTCCATTTTGTATATCCCATAATATCAAGGTCTTATCTTTACTTCCTGAAACAAGCAGTTTTCTACAGTGAGAGATATCTAAGCATGTGACCGCATCCGTATGCCCATGAAAAGTCCTAACCAATTGTGCATTTGATATATCATGCATACTAATTTTGTGATCAGAAGAGCCTGTAAATAGATATTTTGAATTAGGATGAAACTTTATAGAAGTAACATCACTCAGAGATGTAACAAACAATCTTTCTGGCTTTTGTCCTGTAACAGACCATACTACCGTTTGTCTATTCGCAGGTCCGCTTGCAAAGTAGAAATCATTAGGAGCAACATCCACACACCAAATAGGGAAAACATGTGATTTATAAACACCAATTTGAGTCAACAAATCCAAGCTCCACAATCTTACCGTACAATCCTGAGAACATGAAAGCAGAAATTTATTTGAAGAAAAAAACTTAACACAATAAACAGGACCTGAATGGCCTATAAGTCGATACGTGCTTCCAACCTCTTCAAACTTTTCCTTGTCTAAATTTTTGATGTCAGTCTTTGCTAGATCAGAACTTTTCTTAAGTCTTCTAAGAGGTTCTTTTGTTAAAGAAAAAATATCTCTAAAACTGTCTTTAAATCCACATGCAAGAAGTTTAGAATCAGTGCTTATCTCCGCAGCAGTAAGCCCTTCATAAGTATTATGAATTGTATAGCAACAAATACTAGGAAGATTATTTTTATTAACAGAAACTCTTTTGCAAAGATCTTTCAATTTTTTAATTTCTGATATTATTTGCGAAGCATTTGGTTTAATCGTAGAGTCTCTGTCCTTTGCTTCTCTTTGTTTTTTTAGTTGAATGGCATATGCCTCTAAATGATCGTACTTATACTGTTCATCTGCTAAAATCGCTTCCTCACACTCTTTTGACGCCAAAAATGTAGTTAAGTCAACCTCACAATCATCAATCCCCTGCGGTTTATCCTCATTTTTTGTTCCTGTGTAAATATTAATATTTAAATACTGGTTCAAAACTTTTAAGATATATGTAAAATTATTTTCTTCCAAAAAATTAATAAGAAGATCAAAAGCGTATCTTCCAATAGGAAGATAATATTTAGATGTTCGAAAAGTGTAAGCTAAATTATTTTCATGAATGTGTTGAGGTGTGTATATGCTTTTAAAATATTTGAGTTCTTCTTTTTTATTCTCATGGTCTGCCGAATATTTTGTAAAAAAAGCCTTTGCCTCCTCTGTTTTGTTTTGCTGAATCAAATCGAAATAAATATGAACAAATAGAGGATAGAAAAGTGGAAGCAAATCATTTTTAAAAAGGTCCAATGAATCTTCAATCCAATTCTTTAGCTTCAAATATAATGACTCCAGAGAGTCTGAAGAATATTTTGTTGATGAAGCAGCAGGCGATTGGAATTCTCTCTTTTGAGGCTCAAGAGGCTTATCATCCATGTTGGGGTAAAACAAAAAAATATTTGGGATAAACAGGAAAATGTAAAACAGCAAATACTCTAACCCAAGGGTTAATTTTATATGTAAAAATTTAATAATTTAGTATTTTGTAAATAAACATTCTATGATATGATTCCCAGATATTCATCGTTAAGTGTTCCAACGGCATATATTTTGGAAGAATCAATTTTTGTTCCAATGATTTTTAGCCTGACGACTGCCTCTTTAACCAGACCACTGTCTTGTATATCTGGAGGAATTTGATGGTTCGAAACAAAAATGGTTAAGGGTCCAACAGAGGCTAAAATTCCCATTTTATTCATTTCGACAACGGAAGCCTCTACTACCTCACCTTTGTAGGGCTTTAATACAAGAGCTTTGTACTTAATGGTAAATGTTGTTAACCCATTAAAACTAATAATACCCTCACTTACATTATTAATATCCAAAACCGAAATTACGTAACCACTATCGGTACAAGATCCTTCAATTGTCTTATAAAGATAATCCTTGATTAATGACTGTATTTGAGGACCGAGATAACTAGGACTTAAGTGTATTTTATGAACAAAGTCCTTAACAAAAAACATAACAAGGGTATAAAAAAAACATTATAAAATTTAATCTTATCTCAGAAATCAAGACCATAAAAAGACAATACAGCAGGAAATTTTGGATTCAAATGTGCTGCAGTGTTTAAAATAGATAAACTACTTATTCCTCTCTTTTGTAGAAAACAGTCCTTCCTGACATAGAAGTTCTTCTTTCTTCCCTCATTAATTTTTTTTCGATAAACTTAAAATCTTTAGGCATACATTTTTTAGTTTTTTTCTTTCTAGGGTTACAAATTTTTCTTTTGAAGGAACAATCTGAAAATCAAGAAACAGAAGTTTCACATGAGTCTTCAATAGAATCTAAATTTACAGATAAAATCTCATCAAGAACGAAATAATTATCGCCGGACTTAGGATCATCTGCCAAGTTTTTGTCTTTACTACTGGTTATCTCTTCTTTTTCAGAGAAGTTAGATGTTAAATCATATTTTAATTTATCAACTGGTTCTTCGAGCACCAAAGCATTATCATCGTCATGCTTTGTCTCATCAAAATCAGCTACTTTTGCTTTTTCACTATCTAACAAAGAATTGCCCTCACTTTCATACTTTAAGAACACACTTTTCTCAGTTAAATTTTTCCTCATTTGATCTTGCACTTCATCTTTGTTTTTAACAGGATTTATGATGCGTGATGTATTTTTAATATCATCTTCAGTCAAACTATTTATAATTGTTGAAATATCTATGGATTTACGATTTTTAGTCCTAAACTTTCTCCGCATAACTTTTTCGTTTCCATTTCCGATAACATATTCCATATGGTCATCTTTTCTTTGCTTTTCCTTCAAAGTATGGCTTTCAACGTGCTCAGACACCATATCTTCAACTAGGTAGGTATCTTCTTTTTTAAAATCTTCTTTTTCAAGATCCTCCTTACCGTAATAAATTGAATCTACACCAAGATTAATCTTGCCACCATTCTTGTTCTCACCTATTTCTTCCATAATTTTAAAGTTTTAACTGTTCAACATGGGTAAATCGTTATCTTTTTCATTTATTATTAACTTAATATTTTTCTCTGTCCCAGAATTCTTAAACTCTACCGTTTTTTTATTGAGAATAATATCATCATAAAGTATCTTTTTGTCTCCTAGTTTCATTGCTTCTTCTTTTTTATATGAAGAGTTATTAGAATCCTCAGAGGAATTTTCCACTTTTTCAGAATCTTCATCCAACTCATCGAGTACAAACTTTCTCTTCTCTGTATTTTTAAACGATGCAGATGTATAGTCAGAATCTTTAGTCTTTTTTGAAAAGTCTGCAACTGCAATGTCAGCCCCTTTAATTTTAATAATAGGATACTTTGAATTGATTGTGTCTTGCCTTTTAACTTCTTTTCCAACCGCYGAATCATTAGGTCTTTCAATTCTAAAGATTTCTTTTTTCTTATTTGATTGTTTTACCGAATTTTTACTCTTTGAATCATTTCTATTAGTCCTTTTTCTATCCGTAAATAACTTTTGACCAAAATCATGTCTTTCAGAACGATCATTTTCATTTTTTTCAGAGTAATTTTTCGCACCAGGAATTGTTTTCTGGTGACCAACGTCATAAGGATGGGAAGTATTAGAATTTTTGATAGAAATATCTTTTGATTCTGGATATCTGCACATATTATTGATCTGATTTTCAGTAGTACTTTTTTCATGCAAATAAGAATTCTTGTATGGTGAATAGTACGATTGGTTATTACTTCCACATTGATAATTTGCATCATGATAAAATGAGGTTTTATTATTTCGATTTTCTTTAATGTCCTTATTAGCAAACATGTCCTCCTGGTTATAAAACATTATTGCTGTATCAGATCTGTTATATCTGCCATTATTAAATTCTTCCACGCGATTTTGATTAAAGCTTTTCTTAAAAATTCCTTTATAAGAACTAATTTCAATGTTGGTATCATCAAGATAAAAATTCCGAAGTTTTTTATGTTTCTTTAAATGATCTTTCACTAAGTGATGATTAGAATCAACATGCTGAGCCTTTACTGTTCGATTCGAATCACTACCATTTTCAAAAATATTCTTATGTAAAACATCAAACAGTTCGTCCGTTTTTTGGATATTCGCATATATTTTTTTCTCCGTCGACAGAGAAATCACACAATCTTTACCATAAATTCTTGATATCTGTTCCTTAATTATGCTCTTCCAGTCTTTAGGAAACCCATTTAAAAATTTATTAAGCTCATCGACGTTAAAAGATGGAGGAGGTAATTTTTTCTGTATAGTTGTATTATACTTTAAGTAATACCGACTATTTTCAGAAACAACTACCCTAGGAGATTCAGCATCTAAAATAGGAGAAGATTCTATATACGTACCATCCTTTAAGTATCCTGCTACACATACCCAATACTTGTAGTTAATTTTGGGATTGTTGTTCTTGACAATTTTCATATGCCACATATCCAAACATTTCTTGTTTATAAGATTATACTTTTTATTTCCTGGTGTTTTTCTTTTAAATATAGTATAGTTAGTGAGATTTTCTAATCCCCCATTGTTCAAAATGTCTTCTTTTTGATTCATAGGATTTGGGATATTATTTTGGTGAAATAAATATTAACAAAGAATTAAAAAATCAAAAAGAAGATCAAAATTTGTTTATCTCGTCGAAATTTTTCTTTAAAATCATTATTTTTATGATTTAAAAGTTTTGATGAACTTATTTTGTTATCAACCTCAGATTTTTTGAGACGTATTTTTAATTAAAAAGTGACTACATTGCATGGAAAAAAAGTTAAGATCAAATTTGATTTAGAACATAAATATGTTTAAGGTCAAACAAAAAGATTTATACTTTCCTCTAAGTATTGGTTTAGACGTTATGGATGTTATTTTTGCATATTTAGAATTTATATAAAACATTGTTGCTTAATTCTTTGTGCTAACTGTCTTTTATTAAAAAACTTTTGCGGCTCTAGTAAAAGTAATATGTAGATTTGATGATATAGATAAGAAGTTCAAGACTAAGTCTAATGTAACTGGTTTTGCAGAAGCTCATTAAGTTTCCCTATAGAATGTTTAAGTTTTTTAAACACTATGTTCTGATGTATTCTGATTGTTCTAGAATAAACTATAAATACCTAGAGAATATTGATCAGACATATAAAAAGAGATGATCACATTGAAAATTACCAGATCCACAAAATTCTTGATTTACCAAAGCAGCAGGTCCTCCAAAACAGATTTAAAAAAACATTTTCAAGACGTACTCTACCTTGGGTTGTCACTTATGTATAAAACGATTTAGCTTTAAAAATTAATTGATTTCGCATAAAATGCATCAGTCCTTATTTTTAATTGTCTAAAGATTAAGATATTTTTAAAAATCTCTTCTACTATGTAAATTTATTTCGAATTTAAATATAAATAAATTTATTTATTAATAAAAATTAAGTTAGTCATAAAAACAAATTAAGTAATAGCGTACATTTTTGTAAACTAAAGGATAAATTTTAGTAGTGTACTAAAAATCTCTTTACTCCTAGTTCAGGAAAACATATAAATTTCACAAGTTATCTTGTCAGATGTTCTCCTTAAATCAAGAAAATATTTGCAAAAAAATTGCCATTTTTTTTATTTATTCAAACAAGACGATACAACAACAAAATTCTTGACATTTTTTTGCTTAAAAATAATTGTGACAGTAAAAAAGTCTTCCTAATGGTTTTAACCCAAGAATGTGACAAAAAGACAAAGAAATTTCTAAAAAACATTTTTTAAATTATTTCTCACAAATTGAATTTTTTCAGACCCTAAGCTATCGAGGATAAAGATGTAATTAACCTTGTGAATTTCTACAAAATAAAAGGAACAAAAATATTATGAGCGTTAATCTTAGAATGAGATATTTTGTTAAATAAACCTTTAAATAGACTTTAACATCTCATCACTTTGAAAGCTCTAAAAAATATGTGGCGTTATAACCGAGTAAACATCGAGAGCTAAAAAAGCTCTCCACAATGGATATACCGGAAAAGAAACAGGGGTTATCGTTAAAAGATTGACTTTTCCCATGTGAGTTCTCTGAAGATTTCTCGTTTTTATAATTGAGAACTCAGGGTAGAATTTCTTATAATAAAATTTGTTCTAGGACATTCTAGAGGAAGAAATGATAAAAATGGACTATTTTCAAATGTGGTAATTATTACCACACACTACTTTATTAAATAAAAAATAAATGTTATTGTTCGAACATACAAAAAAATTATTTATAAATTTAAATCTCTCAGATCTTTGTCTACATCTGAAATGTAACACCCAAATATTTCATAATTGATCTTATCTGCAATCTTAAACCCGATGTAAAAAACTATTTACAAACATATTTAGGAAATATTAATAAATGTTAATTAAATATTAAAAGATTATTTCTTAGAGACATCTTCGTTCATAAGTCCACTAGTAACACATATAAGAATACTTTTTAACTATAAGAATGTTCTTGAGACATCATATATTATAAGATTATTTCTTATAAATCACATGAAATTTAATTAAATTATACCAATAACAAAAGAATGACATCATTAAGTTATGTTAAAATCCGTTTAAAGAATCTTTAAATAAATTCTTAAGAGCTTAGTAAGACAATTTTTACGATCAACTGTAAAAATAAAAATTACCAAAAAATATTTCAAGAATAAGATTTAAATTTGAATCTGCTTTCAAAAAGTGTGGTATCCACCACTCAAAAACAAGTCCAAAAAGTTTTTATTCGTAATTGGACCTTTTGCTGATTGCATCATACCCCTTGGGGTAAAATCCTTATATAGTTTTGGCGGGAAAATATGCCAATAAGAATTCAGCGATTTATATTTCCTGCCCAATAGGAGGGAAAACAGTATAAAGTTATGATATTGAAGAATATCATAAAAAGCTAAAAGACCTAGATTTGGATGAAGTTTTTTTTAATAATTTTCAAATTTTTTAAATCTTTTATTTTTAAATAAATTTTTAGATATTTTTATAAAATAATTTATGAATTATATAACACAAGGAAGATTTTTACTTCATAACACCTTTTTTGTGAAATTTACATTTCTTTTAATGCTAGAACAAAATCATTTTGATAATTTAGAATTTAATTGTAAATCGGACATCGTTAGAAATGATAACTTTAATGACAACTTTTAATGCATAATGTTTATTCTAAACTAAAATTGAAGTAAGAATGTATTTCTTAAAGAAAACTGTCTGACAATTATAGTGTATGTCATTATCTAAACTAAAAAATTTTATATCAGATTATTTCGCTGTAATATTGTTAGAAATTTAAAATATGTATATGTTTTACTTTAAGCAACGTATGTGTGGAATTTCTTGCAGGAAGTCGGCCAGAACATAGAAATGCTTCTATGATGCTCGTCCATGTATGCCCAAAAACTACCTTTTTTTTAAAACATTTATTTGCCATTCTTTGGTCTTGGGTCCAAAGATTAAAATTTATTTATATAAAATTTTTTAGTAAAAATTTTATCATAATGTGGAATAGTTATACCACAGTATGTTACCTGGCTTTAATGTCCTGCTGGTAATCAAACAAAATTTTGTAGATTTATAAAAAGTATTTATGAACTGTTTAAATTGTCAAGTTATTTATTTCTTAATAACAAGAATTCCGTTCAAATATTTCTTTAACAGTCCAAAGGATGAAGAATACGCTTAATTATTCTCGTAAAAGTACCTGAAAGAGATTTCAGTTTATATGCAATCTTTTCTTCCATTATTTCCAAGAGCTTTGTCTTATGTTGAATAAAAAGATCTTTATGATTTTCAAATAAATAACAAAAGAATATATGTAACTCTTTAACGTATGGATTAATTTCTTGTGTAGTTTTGTAAACTTGAGGTATATCAAATAGATCGGCAATCTCCTCTTCACCATCTGGAGTTTCCATTGTAAACGAACTATAGTTTTTTCTTAGATCAAATTTGTAAAAAATAGGCTTTTTATGAGCACTAAATCCTGCACAATACTTCTTGCAAAGATTAAAAAACTCATCTGAAATATTAAACAAAAATATATAAGACCTAAAAAAATTGTTGTACCCTATCCTTGTAAAGAATTTTTCAAAAAATAACTCGGAACCATAACTCTCAATAAACTTACTTACTATATACTGTAAATATCTATCGTCAGTAACAACTTTACCGTCTTTATCTTTCAATTTTTCACGTGGCTCGAAACAGTTCTCATTTATTTCATTGAAAAAACGCTTAACAAAGTATTCTAGCGCCGGAATATCAGAAAGAGTAGTTAAACCATATGGTTGATAACTTTTTAAATAAGCACAATAATATTTATCATCTTTTTCGTAAAAATATGGAAACATCTGTCCTAAATAACCTTTTTCTCTCACTCAGGACTTGTCCTCTTCGTTAACCACTACAATGGTTATTTCACCACATACAGATTTATTATGGATATAATTACTTCATCTAGGTAACTTTTAGTGAATCTTGTAGCTGATTCAACAGTCTGAAAATTAAGAATAACATTATGACGTGTGATATATTCCCTAATGTATTCAGCAACTAAACTTTGGATGGTCTTTTCATGAAGAAACTTAGGGCTCTCAGGGTATACAAATATTAAGCTATTTTCCAGGATTACCTCTTCATCCTTATAAATGCTAATACTTTCATCCGCAATTTCTACTCTAACATACACATGTTCTTTGTGAATTTTATCAATGTCTGTAAGAATATTATCATGTAGCATTTTCTCTACACAATCAAAAAGTATAGGGGAAGAAACAAAATCTCGAAGTTCAGAGATAGGATCAAAATCGCTTGTGAAATAGTTTTGTTTTTGTTGTAATAAAATTTCAAATAAGATATTCAAATACATGGATAAAAATTTAAAAGTTGTTTTTATCAAATTTATAATATATCCTGAAAGGTATAAATGTAATATTTCTAAATTAAGTTTAATTAATGGTTAAGAGATTTCTATTTAAGCATCCTTCACTTCAAATAAATTTGTAAAGCATATTCATATCAAATTTAATTAAATCAAATTTCATTGATTACTTTTAACTATTTTTTAAAATATTATTAAATTTTCTTTTCTTTTTTTAAGCAATAAACAGAAGTAATTCTAAACAAATTATATAAATAAACATAATGATGTTCTTAACTTCTAAAAAGTAAGTAAAATAATCATCTTTCTACCATAAAAAACTTACCTCTATAAGAATTTTGGTTTAGTAAAAGACTGAAATTTTAACTTTGTTAGACAAATAATATAGTTGGTAACTCTAAGAAATCCTTTGAAGGACTAAAAATTATTAATAAAGGTTAAAACTAAACAGATTTCTAAGATCTTGATGTTTTGATTATCGGCTCTAAAAAGGATTATACCGTGATTTTAATTAATAAAGTAATCACTGTTTTAGAAA